AAATACGACATGCAAATAAACTGAACTATAAAAAAGCTTTCCAAATGCATGTCCAACGCCAATGCCCATACAAATTATGAAATTAATTGGCATCCTGCCACCTTTTTCATTCCCTTCTCTGATGATCCTCTATACTTTCCCATTCCAAATACTTATACCCAAATCTCATTAACCACTACAGTCAACTAGTAGCCAATTAATAAGAGATGTGAGTTAGAAATGGTCCCAGAGGTATCTGAATCTGAATGTAAATCATTTGAAAAATAAGTAAACTTTCAATCAACCTCAAAGGCAGCTCTTCTCAACCTTAGCTGTGCATTAGAATTACCTAGGGAGCTTTTTAAAATCTGATGCCTAGGCCACACTCCTAAGGAATTAAATCAGAATATTTAAGGGTGGTGCCAAACACAGAATTGTTTAAAGTTCTCCAGTAATTCCAATGTGCAGCCACAGTTGAGATCCATTGCTTTAGGGAAAGCATTTGAAACAATGAATTTTCAAGCTTAGTGAAGAAGCTATTTTTAAATGGGGATACATCATGTGGCTCTGTTGAGGTTGCCAACTAGTGAAAACGCTCTGTTCAAGGTAAAGACCATTTTTATTAAGAAAGAAAATGCTACCTTTTAAAAATCACTAGAGACTCAGTTTCTAATTCCTAATTTCAGCAAGTTACTTCACTTGAGTTTTACCTACCAAATATAAATAATAATATCAATGTCTACCTCATGGTGCTGCCAAGAATGACCAAATGAAACAGAGCACCAGAAAATGTTTTTCAAACTATAAAATTGTATTTATTATTACAGAGCTCAATTGTAGAACCATTTATCATTAAAAAGACTAGTTGTAATGTGGATTACAACTATAATGTAGATTATTACCTAAAAGATTTATCACTTTGTGTTAATAGACATTAGCTTGATAAAACCTATGTGTCTACCCAATGATTCTCAAAGTCTGGTTTCTGAACCAGTAGCAGCAGCATCACTGGAAACTTGTCAGAAATGCAAATTCTTGGAATCTATGCCAGACCCACCAAATCAGAACCTGGAGGCAGAACCTAGCAATCTTGTTTGAACAAACCCTCTAGGTAATGTTGATGCACACTAAAATCTGAGAACCCCATATCTAGGCAAACATTAGTAAAAATGGAATATGTATGACTAAAATCAAAGGATGAATGTACAGTATTTGTTATTTGAAGCTTTAGAAGTCAGAGTGCAAAGGCATACTGGCATAAATTACTAGTAGATAAAAAAACACTCGTAAATCTTTGTATTTTAAAATAATACAATTCTTACTGCCCAGACAACCTTTATCAATTGACACATTAATCATGAATACAATGGTAGTATATAAATTTGGGAGTCAGATAAACTACAGAGCATTCAATAGTTTGGATAAGAAATAAAAAAACAAAAACTCTATTTGAAGTAACAGTGGTTCAGAAAATAGCCAACTTTTAATTCATGGGCTTGGGTTTCACTCAGAGGAAGAGTTAAAACTGTATCCTAAAAATCACATTTATCCTGAAGACAATACCCCATAGCATGTCTATGTTTTCATTCAGGCTAAGGAAGTGTTTCATCACTGACTCAGAGAAAAGACCATTACTTGGACTTAATCACCAGCAATGTTTCCTGAAGCATTAGATTTGTCATTGGGTCTGCTAAGCAACCGAAAAACAGTCTCAAAACTTCTTATCTTCAAAGATCTCACAAGAAAAAACTATCAATATTGCTCTCAAACACAAAGTCCAAAGGTCTTCCATTAATAAAACATGCAGGTTAGCAATAGGTAAGAACATTGAGGAGTCTTGTAAGATTGCAATAGAAAGTTCTTTGAGATCTTGTTTTCTCTTTTTCCATTTAAAAAGATTTTGACAGCCTTAAGACACATAACACCACCCTGGAAAGACTAGAGTGAAGTATACCAATTGAGAACTAACTTTAGTATTCATCCTTAGTTACTTACTAAAAAAACTTCGTAGAACTGACTTTTTCCTGGAAGATTCCTTAACAATAGATGAAGTTCCATTTACTACTACCAAGCAGATAACTGGTTCCCTCTTTGATCAAGATTTCCAAGTCTCAAAAGATTTCCTCAATCATATGCTTCCTGTATTTAAAGAACTTGGGGGTTAAAAATTGGGGGTATGTGTAAGTAGAATAACTCCAATAATTGATATTGGTATTCTATATCATAGGAAATATTTCCCACCTATTCAGAGTAAAGAAAACAAAAGAGAGGAGCTTGGTTTTACTTATCCATGCTAACCAAAATTATACTGTGTCTTTGTGGCAATCCTTTAGCTCTACCTCATGAGAAAAACAGCAATTATAAGCTCTCATTTTCCACACTGGGAAGAACTAGAACAAATATATAATTGCCAAAATAATTCCTTTTGTTCATTCACTCATCTACAAATATTTATTGAGTGCCTAATATGTGCCAGACATTGTTGTAGGTGCAAAAGAATCTAGAGAGATGCACAGACTTCAATGATGAGGGTGTGGATTCTATGTGTCTAGAGTGCTAGGCTTTAAATTTCTCTGTCAACCAAGACCAGTGGTTCTCAAACTGACCAAGCATCAGAAGCACCTGGAAGGCTTGCTAAAACATAGATGCTGTGCTCCATCCAGACAGTTTCTATTCAGTGGGTTTGAGATAGGGTCCCAAAATTAGCATTTCTAATAAATTCTCAAGTGATGTTGATGCTGCTGGTCTAGGGACCACACTTTGAGATCCACTTTCCAAGACAAATGGGAGCTCTTCACACTAAGCCTGCCAACTTTCAAGTACTGTACATCTCTCTTCCAAAGAAGGCAATGACCCCATGAATGCTGTCACAATCACTTACAACTGAGCACAATTCCAATTCCCAGAACCACCTCAAATATCTCTGATTAGTAACTTCAGAGAGAAGAGAGAAGTATAAATAACAAAGAAAAGAAAGTTCTCTTTCCAGGGGCTTTTCGCCCTCCTTTTCTTTTGATTTATCACTTATCACAAGAAGTTACTTTTCTAATATGATTTCTCAATACAAGTGCTATGGAAAAGAATAACACTCATTTAGATTTTTCATATTTCTTTAAGAAAATCAAGGCTTTTCTTTTAAATTCACTCTTCATGACCTATTTTTCTCCTTTTTTTTTTGACTATCCCCTTTTTGAACAAAAGAATCATAGGGTTAGAAGGAACATTGAGAATTCATTTCATCCCTCCTTGGCCTCAGACAAAACTATGTCTAAATCATCCCCAAATATAGCAATTTTTAGTACAAATAGACCCTAAGAATTTGCCATTCAACTTTCTGTCACATACTTGAAGATACACTTTCCCTCAGCCTTCTTTTCTCTAAGTTATCAACCTCAACACTTAGACTTTCCTCATTAGATTTCCTAAACTTTAAATGATTTTAATTCTTTTAAAATAAGTTTATCTCATCTTACCTAGGACCTGACTTATGTATGTACTGTTAAGGGGAAAGTATCGATTGAATAAAAAAGTAATTTAATTGGAAGAAATCTATATGTATAAATGCCACTAACGAATAATACAATGGCATTCACTTGAATAAGTCATTTTAAATATCCTTTATTTTATTTTAAAAAACAGTAATGTCCTATACTTTTTATATCTTTACATTACAAATCACCAGCCATTTCACACATAAAATGAATGGGAATTAGAAATTTTTAAAAATATGCCACAAATTATACATACCATGTTTCATGATACTTCACACAGAAGAAAACATTATTATTATTTGCTTTTTTATTTTAGACAGTGCTTACTTCTGAATTTGGAGTTGTAGTTAATGATTTACTTCTGTATGAGTCCAAAAATACTAAATTTATTACATGAAATTCATTTCTGTGAAAATAATTTCTCTGATTCAATCCTTGCAAATCAGAGGTGTCAGAGATTCACTGAGTATAGGACAAGATTGGATAAAGATCACGTTAAGTGATAGGTTTCCAAGAAGTTTAGAAAGGAAAAATTGGTAATACATTGGAATATGGGGTAAAATGAGATCATTCATTTTATTTCAATTTCTCCCATTCTAAATATAACTATTCAAAATTTAGACTTTGCTTTCAGAATGGTGAGGCGCTTTAGTCTAGCGTAGGCCTGAAGGATAGGATTGTTTCTCTGCCTATTGCAATCAAGGTGTACGGTGGAGGCGATGCATTTAGTCTCCAGAGAGAATGAAGATGCTGCTTGCACAGCACTTCTACTCACCAGTCCATGCAGCAGCAAAGGTGTTGGCTTTGAAGGAAGCCAACTGTCCTGCTCTCCCAGCCAGAGGTAAAGAATTGCATTGGTGGCCACTAGAGGGAGGAGGATTAGGAATAGAGTAAATTGTGGGGAAAAGGCACCCATGAAAAAAGCACATGGGACAACCAACACATCACCAACCACCGCCTAGCAGCTACCTCTCTGAGGGACTATACTAGGGGTCAGCATACACCATTAACCCAGAGACCCAGACACCAGTAATGATTGTAGTATCCTGGTAAAGAGCCCCTTAACTTTGATGGCAGGAGAAGGGAGGTTGAGTACGATAATGGGAAACACACAAGCACACAAACACACAAGCACACGGACATACATTCTCATGCCCCATTACAAGAAGCTGTATCTGTGCCGCCTGATTCTTGCCCATTTTCTTATTTAAAACTCTTGATGTTCTTTACCAAGAATGTGTTCACGAAAAGCAAATAGCCCACCTTCAAGTTAGTCTTGGGAGAAGCATCAGCAGAGACACTCATTGTGCCAAGATGTATTTTACCAACAAATCTGTACAAATTACATGAGGTTAAAAACAAATGGAATATAATATAATTAAAGCAAAGTTTCTTTTGCTAAATTACAGCTTGGAGCAAACCTGCAAGAAATGTTTCCAATTAGCTTCTTTTGCAAACACAAAGCATAGCTCACAACATGTTTTGCTTTCCATGCTGCCCTCTGGGTGGGCTGCCTAGTGGTTGTCTTACCTCCAGCACAAGTAGTGGAGCATTCTGACCAAGGCTGATGATTCCAGGTAAAGCCAATATCACTGTCTCCACTGCCAGTCCGAGTGATAGGAACATTGAACTTATACGTAATTCCCTCATACGTATCTTGATAAAGAACCTGCCATTGAAAACAACTGGTGAAGATAATTAAAATACAATGAGCCTTCATTCAGATACTTATTATTTCTTTTGAAGAAGATAATGCCATAAAGTAAGCCTTATAAGAAATTTAAGATAACTTTTAGAACACATACACTTATCTTGAATTTTCTCCTTCCATTTTCATAGGTAATTTAGAGCCATTTCTTTCATCTACCTTGTTTGGTTACAAAAATATTATTCAACCAAGCAATGAAATGGTCAAACATTCATATGGGAGAGCACTCTGGCTTTACCTTTACAAGGATTTTAAACACTTGGGCAAACCATTTCACCTTTATTTACCTTATTTTCTCTGCTTTATAGATAAATTAAGAGGCAAAGACACATTTACCATGACAACGAGATTTGTCGTGGTGGGACCTGGAGCTACCAAGGATTCTGGTTCATCAGTTGGTCTCTTGTAGCGAAAAGTTGTCCCAGCAGCATCAAACTTCTTAGGCCAGTCAATAGTCCAACCACAATTAAGATAGTATTCATCTGTTTCAGATTTTAAAGCTAAAAAAAAAAATCACAGTACACCTAAAAATATGAAACTTCATTTACCACAGTGTCACTGGTAAATAACTGCACTGAAGTATTCAATGAATATTCATTTCTATTTAGAGATGGAATTCTTGACTATTTTCTAAAGTAAAAATTAAAATGGTAATTTTCCATGTGAATGCCAAGAAGATATTAAGTATTTATGATGTCATTGAGAGAAAGGAATAAAATGTTACCTGGAGAAATAAACATATGGAACTAGCAAGGAAAAGTATGACAAGAGAAATAACTAGGAATGGGAGAGATGGAGGAAGCAGACTTTCCTGTCTAAATATTAAAAAGTAATTATATGAATATGGGGTGGGAGAAACTATAGTACTGGCACCCAGACAGACAACAACGCAACCAAACAGTCAGTTAAGAAATAACAATCAATAAAGAAAAAAACGACAAAGCATCTTAAAGTATATGACAAAAGAAGCATCTTAAATTAGTTTTAAAAAAAGGTAACAAGATATGAAACCAAGACAAAAGACTAGCCATTTGGCAAATAATAAATCCAGCATTATGATGATGATGATGATGATGATGATGATGATGATGAATTTACATTTTGTTTGTTATAAGTACCACAATTCCACTCTTAGGTACATATCCAAAAGAAATGAAAATAGATACTCAAACAAATATTTGTACATACATGTTTATAGTAGCACTGTTCCCAATAACCAAAAGTGGAAACAACTCAATTGTCCATCAATGGATGAACGAATAAACAATTTGTGGTATACACAATACAATGAAATATTATTCAGCTATTAAAAGAAGTACTAATATATGTTTCAATAGTTATGAATTTCAAAAACATTATGCTAAGTGGAAAAGGCTAGACAGAAAAAGTCACATATTGTAAACTGCCATTTATATGAAACTAGAGGCCTGGTGCACAAAATTTGTGCAGGGGGTGGAGGGGGATGTGTGTCCCTCAGCCCAGCCTGCCCACTCTCCAATCTGGGACATCCCTCTCACAATCCAGGACTGCTGGCTCCCAACCGCTCGCCTGCCTGCCTGCCTGATTGCCCCTAACCACTCCCCTGCCAGCTGATCAACACATAACTGCTCCCCTGCCAGCCCGATTGCCCCTAACTGCCCTCCCTGCTGGCCCAGTCACCCCTAACTGCCCTCCCTTGCCAGCCTGGTCACTCCCAACTTCCCTTCCCTGCAGGTCTGGTCACCCCCAACAGCCTTCCCCTGCAGGCCTAGTTGCCCCCAACTGCCCTCCCCTGCTGGCCTGGTCACCCCCAACTGCCCTCCCCTACAGGCCTGGTTCCCCCCAACTGACCTCCCCTGCAGGCCTGGTCGCCCCCAACTGCCCTCCCCTGCTGGCCTGATTGCTCCTAACTTCCCTCCCCTACTGGCCTGGTCACCCCCAACTACCCTCCTCTGCAGGCCTGGTTCCCCCCAACTGCCCTCACCTGCTGGCCTGGTTCCCCACAACTGCCCTCCCCTGCAGGTTCAGTCACCCCTAATTGCCCTCCCTTGCTAGCCTGTTCGCCTTCAACTGCCCTCCCTTTCAGGCCTGGTTTCTGCCAACTGCCCTACCCTGCCGGCCATCTTGTGGCAGCCATCTTTGACCACATGGGGGTGGCCATCTTGTGTGCTGGAGTGATGGTCAATTTGCATATTACCTCTTTTATTAGATAGGATATCCAGAATAGGTAAATCCAATAGAGACAGAAAGCATATTGATGATTACCAGGGGTTGAGAAATGGGGAGTAACTGCTTAATGGACAAAAGGTTCTTTCTGGGGTGATGAAAATATTTTGGAATGTACCAAATGCCACTAAATTGTTAACTTTAAAATGGTTGAGTTCTATTTTATGTAAATTAAACCTCAATTAAAAAAATGGTTTAAAAAGAGAGAAATAATAAATGCCAGCTGGGTAAGTATTTGAAATTAAACAGTTGAATCATAAAATGCTGGGAGAAAACATGGCAGATCTTTTAAAAAATAACACTGGAATATAAAAAGCTTTTTTAAGTATGACAAAACCCACAGAAAATATAAAGGAAAGGATTAATAAATATGCATACATAATTTTAAGACCTATATTAAAAATGCATTAAAAACATTTAAAACTATTGACAGAAAAAGGTTATTGGCACTATGGATAAGAAAAAATGGTGTGGTTCACATACACAATGGAATATTACTCCTTTTGTGACAGCATGGGTTGACCTAGAGAGTATCATGTTAAGTGAAATAAGGCAGTCAGACAAAGACAAGTACCATACAATTTCATGTATATGTGTAATCTAATGAACAAAATAAACTAACAAACAAAATAGAAACAGACTCATAGATACAGAGAACAGACTGACAGCGGTCAGAGGTGAGGGTGTTGGGAGACTGGGTGAAAAAGGTGAAGGGATTAAGTAAAGGAAAAAAATACCTCATAGACACAGACAACAGCATGGTGATTACCAGAGGAAAAAAGGGGTGGAGGGGAGGTAAAAAAGGGTATAGAGGGGATAAATGGTGATGGAAGGAGACTTGACTTGGTGTGGTAAACACACATCTATATAATACAATACACAGATGATGTATTATAGAATTGTACACCTGAAACTTAATAAGATATACTTTTACTTATTAATAAAATATAATTTTAATAACCAATGTTACCCAATAAATTCAATAAAAAAAATTTTTAAAGAGAAAAATACAGTGATGATTTCGATAATGATTTCATGATGACAAACATGGCAGTTTAAGTTTTTTGTTATTATTTTAGCTTCTTCTTTTACATCCATAACTCATTTCCTAAGCCCATTTCTTCTAGGAATTACTTTTTCTACCTCTGTAATTTACCCAATAAATGTTCTCTTACAAAAAAAATTTTTTAATTTATTGGGCCAGATAAACAAGCAGCTCACCCTGGCCTGTGTTGCTCACTGGTTGGAATGTCGGCTCCAGCATCAAAGGGTCTAGGGTTCCATTCCTGGTCAAGGGTCCATACCTGGGTTGCAGGTTTCCTCAGGCCCAGGATGGGCGCATGTGAGAAGCAACCAATCGATGTGTCTTCTCACATCAATCTTCCTCTCCCTTTCTCCCTCCCTCCCTTCCACTCTCTCTAATGGGGAAAAACAAAAACAAAAACAGAAGCAGCCCCAAAAGACTACAAAGGTCATGGTGCAGTCTCTGCCTCTCTTGACCTCTACCACTTGTCCTTAACAGTACAGACCATTTTCATGCCCCCACTCCAATCTGACTGGCACATTTACTTGTATTTTCTTGACTTCAGATATGTTATGATGATTCATTTGTCAAAAACAAATCTAATTAACCTTTTAAGATGAGAACATGTCAACCAATTTTAAGTATTACTTAGACTTAAATATTTCTTGTATTTAAAATTTTTTCTTTTCAATTCTCACAGTGGTTTTCTGTTTCATTTAAAATATCAGCCCTAACTGGTTTGGCTCAGTGGATAGAGCGTCAGCCTGTGGACTGAAAGGTCCCAGGTTCGATTTCAGTCAAGGGCATATACCTTGGTTGTGGGCACATCCCCAGTAGGAGGTGTGCAGGAGGCAGCTGATTGATGTTTCTAACTCTCTATCCCTCTCCCTTCCTCTCTGTAAGAAATCAATAAAATGTATTAAAAATAAAATAAAATATCAGAATTACTTATGTTATATAAGGACGTCTGAACCTGTATAATATGAACTAGTAAAATAAAAAATAAAACCAGACCACCCCCCCTCCCCCAGCAGCTTTGTAGTCTCCTTCAATTTGAGCTCTCACTTTCCATTACCCAACTATTCAGCTAACACATTTTTGCTGGTACCATAATATAGTTCAGAAAACACTGAGCATTTAAGAAGTACTGGATAATTTACTAGGGGAGGAGGATGTGGCATTATGGGCAGAGAATTATCAAAGGGAAAAAATTTAATGTTACAAGTCTTATTTTTGTTTTGAGTCTTGCTGATTCCAAAATTATGATGCAAAAATAAAGGGCTCTTCTTGAATAAAGGAAAAGCCTGATTATACTGGTGTTCTATCCAAAGATGTATTCTGGATGTCATCTTATTTTTTAAAGACTTAATGAAAAGGCAATGATATGTTAAAGGACATAAGAACTCATCCAGGCCTCACTAGGGGTCTCTGGAGAACCTAAATCTGTTTTAAAAGATCAAACATCAAATAAGTAGAATATCCACTTCTTTCCCTGTTGAAATAATTGGTACTAGATTTGCCCTTCAACTGTAAACAACTAGAAAACTCACAAAACATATGAATTAGGTGTTCTTAGACATTGGCCAGGACAGGGCAGGGCTGTGATATATGCAAGAAGGAAAACAAGGTGAATTTGATCTTTTGATTTAAGAAATAATAATCTTTTCAACAAATGGTGTTATAGTAATTGAATATCCATATAAAAAAATTGAACCTCAACCCTTTATACCTTATATAAAAACTCAAAATGGACCATATACCTAAATGTAAAAGCTAAAACTATAATTTCTTGAAGATAATATTTGCAACCTTGAGGTAGGCACAATTTCTAAGGTAGGACATGAAATCCCAAACAATAAAAAATTTAATAAATTAGATTTCATGCAAATTAAAAGACACCATTAAGGATAGAAAATAGATAAGCCAGTGACTGGGAGAAAGTATTCATAAAACATGTATTTGAACAAAGACTTGTATAGAATACATAAAGGACTCATAATTTAATAAAAAATTTTAAATAGGCAAAATAATTTTGAAAAGGAAGGGAGCATTTGGAACTCGTCTACATTATTGGTGGGAATATAAATAATACAACCATGTTAGAAAACAGTTTAGTAATTTCTTATAAAGTTAAACATGTACTTATCATATAACCTTACCATTTCACTCCTAGGCTTTTATCTATGAGAAATGAAAATATATGTCCACACAAAGTTTGTCTATAAATGTCCAAAGAAATTTTATTCATAATGGTCAAAGACTAAAAATGACCCAAATATTCTTAAGTGAGTGGATAAAAATATTATGATATATCCATACATTGGGATATTATTTAGTAATAAAAAAGAGTGAACTTCAGATACACTCAACAATACAGATGAATCTCAAAAACATTATGCTGAGTAAAAAAAGCCATACATAAGTATATACTGTATTATACCATTATGTTAAATTCCAGAAATATAATGAAATACATGTCAGATAAAAGATCAATGTTTGCCTGAGGCTAAGGCTAGGGGCATTTAACTGCAAAAGGAAATAAGAGAATGTTTTAGAGTCAGAAATGATCTATATTGTGGCTGTGTTATATATACATATAAATAATTGTCAGTACTCTTTGAACTGTATACTTATAATGGATATACTTTATTATATATAAATTATTCCCCAATAACATTGATTTTAAAAATCAAATAAGCAACTCAGTGAAGAGTAAGCTATAAACTACTAATTTTTGTGTTTAGTTCTTACATGTGGTCCTATAAGACTTGGAATTTCATTTTAGCATGAAAGTATTCCATCTCAAAGCAGTATGTCCATTTTTTCTTTTTCCATCACCATTTATCCCTTTATGCCCTCTTTCACCTCCATTCACCCCCTACCCCCACCCTCAATCACCACACTGTTGTCTATGTTCATGAGTTCTCTATTTTTTCTTCTCAATCCCTCCGCACACACCCCCACCCCAAACTCCATAGCTGTCTGCCTGCTCTCTCAGTCTGTCTCTATTTGGCAAAGCAGTATGTCTTTTCCTTCATGATATTGTGCTCTCCCTTCTCCTTAATTTTTGAAATCTACCAAAATATGCTACTCACCAATATAGGCAGGTGACACGGCAACTTCTCTGACTTCAATATTAACAGAACCTCTTGGTATCTGCACAACTGTCAGGTAGCCTGGACCACAGAAGACAGCCAGTGTAAGTAGATTCTGTTGCCTCAGTCAGAAAATGAGTGTTTAATAACCATTCAGTAATGAATTTCCTTATTCTACCATGCTTTCTTTGGCTTTTCACTATACAAATTATGAAATATGGGCAAATTCCCCTTTGGGTTAATGAATACCTCTAGAGTATTTTTCTTTTCCTCTAAAATACCTTCAACATGTACAATATTGGTTCATTTTATTTTTTCAACCGTAGCCCACACATCAATCTACTGTGGAAATTCATATCTTAAAGAAACATGGCAAAATGAAGTCAAGTAGAAAGGAAATAATATTTACTTAAAATATCTTACATAGGAACTTTCCTGTAATGTTGGAGGGCATGCAGACTGGTTCAGCCACTGTGGAAGACAGTATGGAGTTTCCTAAAAAGTTAAAAATGGAACTCCCATTTGACCCAGTAATCCCACTTCTAGGACTATATCCCAAGAAACCAGTAACACCAATCAGAAAGGATATATGCACCTCTATGTTCATAGCAGCACAATTTACAATAGCTATTTGGAAACAGCCTAAGTGCCCATCAGCAGAAGAGTGGATTAAAAAACTGTGGTACATCTACACATGGAAGATTATGCTGCTATAAAAAAGAAGGAACTTTTACCATTTGCAACAGCATGGATGGAACTGGAGAGCATTATGCCAAGTGAAATAAGCCAGTCGGAGAAAGATAAATATCACAAGATCTCACTCATACGTGGGATATAATGATCAACATAACTTGATGAACAAGAAGAGATCCAGAGACAAATGGCAGGGAAGGTGGGGGGGCGGGGGTGGTGAGAGAGCAACCAAAGGACTTGTATGCATGCATATTAGCATAACCAATGCACATAGAAACTGGGGCGGTGGGGGCTTGCCCAGAGTGGGAATGGCTGGGGGGTGGGGGGAGGGAGTCACCTGGGGTTAAAGAAGACATATGTAAAACTTTAGACAATAAAAAAAAATAAAATAAATATCTTACATGAAGCCATATTTAATACTTTAAAAGGCTGAAAGTAATTTGGGGGGAAAGCAATGTCTGCCTAAATAAAGAAATTTTAAAATAAGGGGTGGTGGTGGTGATCAAATGTGTTGCCTATTCCAAGCACACAGAGGCGTGAGGAAGAGTTCTCTCTACACACTCACCTCCTCCTCTGGGTGACGTCTCATTGAAGAACCCTTCAACAGCATCGCATGTGCTTCCATCCCCTCCACAGACTCGACATTTATCTTCCCTAACACTGGATTCCAAAATGTTATCACAACCTACATGCTGCAAACAGAGAAGAATATTCAGTGTGTGAAAAAAAGGAATTCTTACTAAGCAAGTAAATATAGCGTATTTATTTACTTGTTTTTCCAGTAAAGGAAATCAAAAACAAGAAATATTTTCTTCTCTCCACTTTTACCTTCACTCTCCAATAAGTTCTAGCTAACATTTCTCAACACATAAGTTTAAAGAAAAAAAATTCTGATTTCCCAGGAATGGATGTCTATATTTCTAACCTAGATTTAATTATTTATAGATACCATGCTTCAACTCTTAAAATATAATTTGTTAGCAATGGACTCTTACTTATACTCTTACAATACATGCAAGAACTGAGAAAAATGGCATTTAGTCCTATACAAGGTTATAACAGCAAGAGTCTTGACTGGGCATGACATTTTGTCCTTTCTCAATCACTAGCCCTTTTGGATTATCCAATTGTTTGAGTCAAGGATTAGTTGTGGAATTCATGACTGGGTAAATCTTTAAAAATGAATACCTGTACCCACTAGCTGAATAAAATTGCCATAAACTCTACCTTTCAGTCTTTCATTGAACCATAGAGATGTGGATTCTTAAACATTTTTGGTACAAATTTTGGAACTTAAATTTGTATATTTGACATTTAGCCATTGATACCAGGCATGTAATCTCTGAATATACTAGTAAGCTGTACCTGGGTTTTTATTATCTAAAAAGAATTTTAATATTGTCACAGAAATAACCTTTTCTTCAAGTAAATACACACACACACACACACACACACACACACACACACACACACTGGGCTATCAGATACATTTGGAGGCCAGTAGCCAGAAGGACAGAAACTTTTGTAAGAAATTATGAGACTAAGTAAAATAGACAGTGTTTTTATATCTTCTTTCTTTCTGGGACTTAGCTTTGCACTTCTCTTTAAAATAAAACAAAAACAAGGGAAAAAACCTATATAATAAAGAGCTAATATGCAAATGGTCATCACATCCTCACGCCGTCATGCCATAACAGCTCAGACATTCAACACTCGGGATAGAGGAATGGGGACCAGCCAGGCACAAATGAGCTCGCGAGAGAGGAATGGGGACCAGCCAGCCTGTGGCCTGGGAGAGGGACAAGCCACACACCCTACAGTCCCGGGTGCCAACAGCTGGGGCTGTGGCCCGGGAGAGGGACAAGCCACCCGCCCCATGATCCTGGACGCCAGCAGCTGGGGCTGCGGCCTGGGAGAGGGACAAGCTGCATGCCCCACGGTCCCCGCAGTCCTGGGCGCCAGCTGCTGCACCTACTGCCCGGGAGAGAAACAATTCGCATGCCCCACGGTCCCCATGGTCCCAGGCACCAGTGGCTGTGCCTGTGGCCCAGGAAAGGGACAAGCTGCATGCCCCGCAGTCCCAGGCATGGTCCCCGTGGTCCCAGGCACCAGTGGCTGTGCCTGTGGCCCGGGGAGAGGGACAATCCGCATGCACCATGGTCCCCGCGGTTCCAGGAGCCAGCAGCTGTGCCTGCGCCTGTGGCCCGAGAGAGGGACAAGCCACCCGCCCTGTGGTCCCAGGTGCCAGTGCCTGTGACCCAGGAGAGGGACAAGCCACCAGCCCCATGGTCCTGGGCACCTGCGGCTCTGGCCCGGGCAAAGTCACCTGCTCACGGTCCCCTGCGGCTGCAGCTGGCCCAGGCAAAGCTGGCCCAGGTCCTAGGTGCCTGCAGCCGGCCAGAGGGTGGGAAGCCCAGTCCCAGGTGCCTGTGACCAGCTGGAGGAGGGAATCCTGGGTCCCAGGTGCGGGGTGAGGCAGAGGTGGTTAGGGGCAATCAGGCAGCAGGGGAGCAGTTAGGGGCGATCAGGCTGGTAGGGGAGTAGTTAGGGGCGATCAGGCAGGCAGAGGTGGTTAGGGGCGATCAGGCAGGCAGGCAGAGGGGCTAGGGGTGATCAGGCAGGCAGGCAGGCGAGCGGTTAGGAGCCAGCGGTCCCTGATTGTGAGAGGCAGTCAGACATCCCCCAAGGGGTCCCGGATTGGAGAGGGTGCAGGCTGGGCTGAGGGGACCCCCCCCCCCCTGCATGAATTTCATGCACCGGGCCTCTAGTGATCATTTAAGCAACCTTGCATTCTCCGTTGATACAGATATCCAGTGAATCCGTATTGCACCGAGTCCCATCAATCACTGCGGGGGCACGTTCAGTGTAGAAGTTGTAGCCATCAGCCAAGCAGTTTAATGCACAAGGTTTCATTCCACCTGGACAAATGCAGTAAAAAAGAAATAAATGGATTGGTTCTCCTATGAGACAGTGATTCAATATTCCCCATAGCAAATGTACAATTCATATAGACATCATTCCCTGACTATATCCCTGGATGTGTAGGTTTCTTTCCTCTTTTGCTAAAATTTTGTGTTTATTTTCATTCCTTGTTCAACTTAATGAAGGTCCTGCTAAGTAGTTTTCAAGTTTAAAAATTTTAAGTGTTTCCAATATATGTTTACAATATCTTTTGGGTCAAAAGGGATCACAGTGGAGGTACCTGAATGTTGATGCAAATAAATGAAATAAAAACTGTTTTTAAAAAATGAACCAAGGAAATAAAGTTTAAGGAGGCTTGAAACTATTACCTTATATGACAAATCAGAATTTCTACAACATATGTAACTTGTTATGGAAGCTGATACAAAAACTCTCCTACTTTAGCAAGGACATGGTAGTTGTAAAATAAAACTATTTGTACCTGTTTTTAAACATATCATATTCCGTGAATATGGCTTTAGTGTGGAGATAAATTGTTATCAGATTAGCAAATCAAAGATAAAATTAATTATAGTTTTAAAATTGAATAGTTAAAATATCTAATATTATTTTGTGAACATATATAATAACTTGAGCATTTTCATTTTGTCACTGAAATTTGTATTTTTTAAGGTTGATATACAAGATAGGTATGAATAGTAGCCATTTAAAACAAGCAAAGTACATGTCATAATCTCATAATATATTTAAAAGTAGCAATAAATATGGATATATTTCATTCAAAACAGCGCATGAAAAAGTGACTTATAAATATGCAACTATTGATTAAAAATATGACGTAAGAAGAATACTTCCTGTTCAATCTTCCTTTTATGAAGTTTAAAACACTTTGGTCTTATTCTAATTATTCTGATAAAATTTCTCTTTAAAATAAAGCTGACTACTTCTTATAAAGAAAATAAGGCAGAAAGATTGAAATGACACGCCTAAGGTAGACACAGGTTGCTGCAGAGTGAAGGTATGTGGAGTAAAAGAGAGAAGCCAACTGGGTGGTGAAGACAATAAGTGAGAGACAGAACATTCCATTAAAAGGAGATCACTGTTATAGTTGACTAGAGGCCCGGTGCACAAAATTTCGTGCATTGCGGGGAGGGTGTCCCTCAGCCCAGCTTGCACCCTCTGGCAGTCTGGGGACCCCTCACTCCTTACCGCCCACCTGCAGCAGAGGCGGGAGAGGCTACCGCCACCACCACTGCACTCACCAGCCGTGAGCCCAGCTGCTGGCTCAGCGGCACTCCCCCTGTGGACGCTCCTGCATTAAGCGTCTGCCCCTGGTGATCAGTGCATGTCATAGTGACAGGTCATTCTGCCACTTGGTCGATTTGCATATTAGGGTTTTATTATATAGGATAGTTGTTGTGCAAGAAGGCTCAATATATTCACACACCCTATTTTTTCAAGAGAAGATGAAAACCTAGATTTTTAAAATATAACTTGTTCTTGGCAACTCATTCAACATTTTCAAAAATACTGTGAAGGTTAAAACACATATGTAAGTAAAAACTGTTCTTGAACCACCAGTTTACAACCACTGGCCCAAGTTCATGTTTTCTCCCATTTTCTTTATCTGTAGGCTATAAAACTCCTATAGGACTTATAAGGTTATTATTAAGCTTAGGGTAATGATATATTTTGCTGTCCTGAGCACAGAAATAATAAGTAATCAATAAAATAATTTCTTTCTGAACTGATAATCAAGGTATTTATAATCTATTTTTGTAAGATTCTCATGAATAAAATTGCTCTAAATTTCCATGAATATTACTGGGATTGTTTTCATTACTACCCACTATTGTTCTTTCCCCATTTATTATTGTAATGTTTTGAAAGTTAATGGAGCTTTTTATGTAATGGGCTTTTTAAAAAGAACACTAGCCTTTTATTTACTCAATTTTAATACTATATTAATTATGTAACATAGTATTTGATAGGCAAGACATGTAATTACTATGGTTGTATTCATAGAAATAAATTTCCTCCTTTTTCACTGCTCAAGATGTATTTAGCTCTCTCTGTTACAATGAGTTTTCAGAAGAGGTACTGCTATTATTTCAAGAAGGGATTTAGGATGATTCTCTAAATGGAAGGTCACATTACCAATTACCTTCATTTAAAGCTTATTATGAATTTAGTGTTAATTCATTCCACTCAATTACCTAGATACTAATTATTAAATCCTCCTACAATAAGATAAAACAATACCAAATGTATATGAACTTAATAAAAGTGATTCAAAATACATGAAACAAAAAGTTATAAAAAAGAAAGTAAAGTCATATAATAGTTCAAGATTTTAACACACTTCTCTCAGTAATTGATAGAAGAGCAAGAGCAGAAAAAATTAAAAATATTTGCATAACACTAGCCAACTTGACCTCATGGATATCCATAGAACACTACTATATCCAACAACTGCAGAAAACACATCCTTTTCAAGTATAAAGAGAATATTCACCAACATGGAGAATAAGCTGTATCATAAAACAAATTTCAATTAATTTTAAGAATTTAAATCATACAGAGTATTCTCTAAGCACATTAGAATTAAACTACAAATTAATAACAAAAAATCTAGAATATATAAAATATTTTGAAATTCCACCAAAAAACTCTAGAACTGATCAATGAATTCAATAAAGTAGCAGGATACAAGAAGAAATAAAAATGACAGTTATAAATAACCTAAATAACCCATGGGTAAACAAGAAATCACAATGTAAATAGGATAATAATTTGAAATGAAGGAAATAAAAACACATCAACTTTGGGGAATGCAATAGAGCAAAATAAACCCATAATTAAAAGAAAAAAGACAGTAATAGAGAAAAGTGCTACAGCCAAGTCGATTCTCTAAAAGATAATTAAAATTGATAAACCTCAAGTAAGACTGATCAAGTAAAAGAGAGAAATACATATTATAAATATCAGGAATCAAAGAGCATACATCACTCCAGATCCTACAGATATTAAACAGAATAATAACAGAATGTTATGATCAATTTTCTATCAATGAATTGGACAACTGGGTGTAACTTATCAATAAACTTATCAAAGACACAAATTTGAAAACTCACATAAGAATTAAAAATTCTGAATAATTCTTTTATCTGTTAAAGGAGCTGAATTTGTAATAATTTTTTGTACAAAGAAAATACCAAACATACATGCTTTTACTATTTTTCCAAGGAAAAAATAATACCAATGTTACAAACTCTTTCAAAATAAATAAGAATTCTATTTCAGGAAGCCAGAGTAACTCTGATACCAAAACTTGTCGAAGACATAACAAAAATAAAACTTAGAAATCAGTTTCCCTTATGAACATAGACACAAATATACTTAATAAAATATTAGCTATTAAATTTAATAACATATAAAAAATAGTAAATCATTACCACATAGGGTTTATCCTGGGAATAAAAGGTTGGTTTGACATTATAAAATCTGTCAAGTAATTTATCATATTAACAGAATAAAGAAGAAAATCACATATAATCTCTACATGCACAAATTGTATTGAAGGGCCAAGCCAGTGCATTAAGACAAGAAAATGAAATAAAAGGCAAAAAGATTGAAATAGACCGTCTCTATTCCAAATAACATGACTATTTAGCAAGAAAATCCTAAATAACAGAACACAAAATTAATATATAAAAATTAATTTTATTTTTATACACTAGAGTTAATAATTAAAAATGAAATTTTTAAAACTTTCATTTACAATAGTGTCAAAACACATAAATTACTCAGAAATAGGTTTAACAAAAGATGTGCAAGACCTTATACCTAAAACTACAAAACATAGCTAGAGACATTAAAAAAGACACAAATACATAGAGATATATACTATGTTCATAAATTGGAAAATTCAATATTTGAATTTGTCAGTTCTCCCTGTATTGATCTACAGATTCAACATGATAACGAGCATAAGCCCAGCATGTTTTTCTGTAGAAATTAACAACAAATTTTGTAATTTATATGGAAATGCAAAGCATTTAGAATATCCAAATAACTCTTTTAAAAAAGATCAAAGTTGGCGGAACTTATGCTACCTGTGTCCAAGACTATACAATTACAATAATTAAGTCAGTGTGGTACTAATATGGAGTTGACAAATAGATTGATGAAACAAAATAGAGTACATAAATATACTACAAATACACACCATATCCCTAAATTGTTTTAGATTGTACATCTAAATTTAAAGATAAAAAACCTGGCTCTTAGAAGAAAAGATTAAAAAATACCATCTAGAGTTGAAGTAGACAAAGATTTCTGAAACAGGACACAGAACACAATAACCATAAAAGAAAAAAATTGAAAAATTAGAATTCATCAAAATTAAAATCCTATACTCATCTAAAATACCATTTAAAAAGTAACAGGAGAGCCACAGACTGTGAGAAAATATTCGTAAAACTTATCTGATAAATGACTACCACTAGAGAATCTATAATAACAAAAGTGCAATATGCTAATTAGACTGGATAGCCAAATGACCTTCCGGATGTCCTTCCGGATGAAGACGGGGCCGTGAGGGCCGAGCCCCTTGCACGAATTTTGTGCATCAAGCCTCTAGTGAAAAGATAAAATACCAATTTGAAAATAGGCAAGAAATGTGGACACTTAACAAAAGAAGATACATAAATGGTCAATAAGCACATGAAAATGTGCTCAACATAATCAATAATCAGAAATGCAAATTAAAGCCCTAGCGGGTTTGGTTCAGTGGATAGAGCATCGTCCTGCGGACTGAAGGGTCCCGGGTTCGATTCTGGCCAAGGGCACATGCCCAGGTTATGGGCTCAATCCCTAGTAGGGGGTGTGTGGGAGGCAGCCAATCAATAGTTCTCTCTTATCATTGATGTTTCTATCTCTCTCTCTCCCCTTTCCTCTCTGAAATCAATAAAAATAGATTTAAAAAAAAGAAATGCAAATTAAAGCTACAGTAAAATATCATTATACACCCACCAGGAGAAGACTGAAAACACCAAATGTTGGCAAGGATATGGAACAAACAGAACTGACACATTGTTGGTGGGAGTTGTGATATGGTACAATAACTTTGGAAAAATATCTGGCAGTTTTTTTTTAAATTAAACTCATACCTACCCTATTATTCAACAATTCTACTCCTAAGTATTTACCCAAGAGAAATGAAAACATATGCCCACAAAAAGATGAGTATGCAAATAATCACAGCAGCTGATTCATAACAACTGTAACTAGAAACACCCCAGGTGTCCATCAGTCACAGAATGGAAAAGCGAACTGATTATAATACTGCTTAGCAATAAAAAGGAATGAACTGCTTGTACATGCAATAATGCAGATGGATTTCAAAAACATTGGGCTTAAAGAAGCCTTGCACAAAAGAGAAAATATGACATAATTTCATTTATATGATGTTCTGGAATAGGCAAAACTAATCTATGGTAAAAAAAAAAAATCATAACAGTAGTTGCCTCTTAGAACAAACAGGTAGAGGCAGCTATGGCCTGGGAAGGACTATGGAGGTAATGGTAATGTTCTATATCTCAGTAGAGTTTTACAGGTACATGCATTTGTTAAAACTCAGGGAAAGGACAGTTAAGATTTGTGCATTTCATTGTACATAATCTAACCTCAAAAGAAAAAAGTAAACAGTACTGAACTGGGGTTGATGTATGCATGCTTAATTACTTACAGGAAAGTATATTAATGACTACAACTTACTTTGAAATGCATTTTAAAAAAAGCATAGATTGATGAATGGACAGAGATGACTAGACATGTAATGAAAAATATATACCGAAATGTTAATGGTAGAATCTTGGTGGTGGATAAAAACATCACTGTAAAATTATTTCAATATTGTTCTATGTTGAAATTTTTTCAAAAATGTTAAAACAAGCAAAAATTTTGAATGTGCATTCAATCTTTCCAAGAGAAAATTTTAACAAAACTTAGTTTGTATTTTGGGAGTGTAAGCAAACTTTTTGTGCTTACTGAACAACTGGTGTTTGATACATGCCCAAATTAAAGAGCAAAAATGTTTCCCAACACTAAAAAAGAATTTTAAAAATCTATGGTAAGATCCTTAGCCTTTTCTCAAGAAAGAACACATTTTCCTGGCCTCTTTGAGTTGATTTATATTGTTATAATTTGTTTTTAGGGTGATAGCTCTAAATACTTCGTGATTATAAATGATTATAATGTAATGTCCACATACCTCAAGAAGTCAAGAACTCAAAGAAATGATTTCTGATCATTTGTACTAACATAAAGTTCATTACAGGGAAACTAAAACATGAGACCTTATAGTATTATAAGTATTTTCCTGCTTTGATTTACAAACACTAATTTTTACTAGTATGTGTAGAAATGTGTGTGTCTTTGTATTATTTATATACTCTTTCATGTTTGCAAAGCTCTCAAGCATGATGAATGCTCTGCCAGGTTATACATTACCTCCAGTAAAGGGTTTCCAGTTATAATAATTTCCACGGAAAGGCATATTGTCAAAGTCTGCACACTGTTTCTCTCGAAAATCTCGGGCCCCCAAAGGACATGGCTAAAATAAAATAAAATCATAAATGGTACGATTGTTGAAAAATTCCAAAACCAAGGGACAGCGTCCCTAAAATTAAAATTGCCTGAACTCCATCACATTAGCTCACTGCCTTACTCTCTGGAACATGCTCTACTCTTACAACCAGTATTCAGACTGAAGTGTCTGAATTGTAATCTTAGCCACAGAAGAAATAACTGAAGTCATTTAAACAAAGTGAAGCGTTAGACAGTTTCCATATAACTTTACACTCAGATGCATGTCATAGTCCACTTTGCAATCGATCCATCAGATATCTCCTTATAAGCACAAATAAAAACCAGGAGAAGAAATCAAAACACAAAATCTTTTTGGTAGCAGTGTTTGAGGTCCAGTTGCCACAGCTACTCCCAGCTCTTTATTTTAAGGAATCAAGAGGCAGATTTGTAACATGACATTCAGCACTATTAATTGTGGTTTGGATCCCGACTACTATAGCTGTTTACTGTCTAGCTCTGACAAAAACCGTATTTTAAGACATGGGATGAAATGGACAAAATGCTAGGCCTCAAGTATAAACACCTTCCAATTCAAGGAATGTGGACTTATTAGGATTTACATTTCAACTTTAACATCACAGAAAATAAAATACTAATTTGGTTCAAAACATGTACATGTGTTGAGTGGGAGACAGAGAAGGATGTTGGGAAGGTGAAGAGAGAATTATTTGTTTTTGAAATTTGGAATGCTTCTTCTACCTGGATTTTTTTTACAGAGGAAAATCTTGCCAATCTAGGTAGGTCCAGATGCCGAATACCACAGGGCCATCCTAAATTCAATACTTAAGTTCATAAAGAATTAAAAGTATAACATCTCACAGTGTTTGAACAATATGACCTAATTTGATGTATCTTTTAGAGTTCTGCAGCTGTTGCACCTAAAACTTGAAGCTACTGATCGAGAAACACTCACTTTAAATATGGAAGAATGGAGCAAGTCATTAGATAAAATTATTAATTGTGAGTAAATAATGAGTATGTTACAGACACTCTCAGATATCATTTTCAGGCTTTTTTACCACCTTCCATGGGATCTCTACATTTACTGTATTTTATACAGTTTTCTGATGTCAGTCCCTTGAAGCATGTGCAAAAATAATAGACCACAATGTGCAAATATTTGCATGGTCACCATTACTTTCTATATACTATGGTTCAAATTACTAGCATATCAAGTCCAAAGCCTCAGATTCTGGAAATAGTGAGAGCAGGTCTACATTCTGTTATGGGCCCAGAATTTAAAATATTTTTCTGCACATTCAAATATGATACTGCAATGCCAAACCTAATGATTCTGCTTGCCAAATTGCCATTTTTACCTGTCTTTTCAAAAAAATGCAAACTAAGTATGAACCGTAGGCTACATAGTGCATCACACTGGAAAGATATGCTTCTGCTGTCTTGCTTCATAGTGTGCTACCGCTTTCCTTTCCTAGCCATTTCCAGGGAACCTCACACAAGGACTGGGGTTGTCAGTGGCCTTGCCATGCAGCAAGGCTGGTTTTTAAGCAAATATTATCAATTTTTAAAAATACAAATAATTTTAACTATAGGTACAAGTTTTCACATAAAACTTAAGTATTTGTAAAGCACCAACTACCTAAAAGTTCTCACAGCTTTCAAACGAGTTGGAGAAACAAGATACAAATAGACAAACCACAGCACTGTTGCAGGCAGTACTTATAGGACGACATGATGCAGGTGCTGTATGAAGGCAAACGATCAATGTGTCATGTGACTAATCATAGGGAAACTTTTCCTCTGGAAGCAAACCTTGAGTGTATTATAATTATAATAAAAGTATTATGAAAACTTAATCTTTGTAACATTATAAGATATTGTAGGAATTGAGCTGGTTAAGCAAAAGGACTTTCGGGGTAGGGGGGGGCGGATTATTAAGAATAAAGCCAAGTAAAGCCATGGGGACAGGAAGGGAAAGGTCATATGTTGGGAATTAGTTGGAAAAAGGCCATCCTAGATGAAACAAACTGTATGGAAGCACAGAGCAGATAACATTTCATAGAAAAGCACTGGTACATAAAAAAGCCTCAAATTAACAAACTAAGGTATCGTGAAGGCCATTCACTTAAGAACAAAAATCCTGTTCCTAATTATCTTGTAGTGTGACTCCTAGCTAGAAGAGAAAGGGTCCAATAGGAGGATATTGCTGTTTCATGAAGCACTTGGATAATATGTTGTAAAAGTTCTGATCCACTCTTTTCCTGGAATAATCACTCCAAATGTCAGCATGATAAAAATATTAACAATGACAACAGCGACTTAGCATTGAGTGAGTACCTATTCTGGGGCACACTGTTCAGAGGTCTCAAGATCTATTATCTGTTGAATCTCTGTCTACACTCTTATGAGGTGGTTGTCCTTAATAATCCCATTTTACAACAGAGTACTGAGTACAGAAAGGTTTGCTTAGTAACAGCTTCAGGATGCAAGGACACCTCCCTCATCTGAGTGGCCTCCTCTGGACACTGTCTAAATGCTACAGTAACAGTGTGAGGCTTTAGCTGTTAAGATACACAAAGACCTAACAGGAGTAACTTGGACTATGGACCTAGTCTTGTCATTTCCAGCTGTAAGTTTCTTATCTTCTCCAAGCTACTTTTTTTTTCTCATTTATAGAATAAGAGGGCCAATTCTTATAAAATAAGAATTTTGGAGTAAGACTAGCCTGGATTCAATTCTAACTTCGTCATTTGTTTAATTCATGGCCTTGAGCAATGTAATTCATTTTCCAACCCTCATCTATAAACTAGTATTTATCTCCTAGTTGAAGATTCATGTAAAATGTCTAGCTCTGTACTTGGCACATGGTAGCTCTGAATAACTATTGGCAGCAGTGCTGGTTTTGGGTCAGGCATCCATAGACTATCCCTCATTGTTCCTGCTCTGCTCTATATATCAGGGGAACACACTCTGCAAGCTCCATATCCCAGGCTTCTGTGCCAGCTGACTTCTGGTTAGGTGCAGGCAATGAAAGGCACACGTGGGAGAAGCCAGGGCATTTCTCTCATTTCCTCTCTACCTCAGAAAGCATCTTAGGCAGGCGCAGAATCCTTCTGCGGCTCTAACTTCAGGAAACAAAAGCCCCACACCTCTACCCCATGCTATGCTTCCAGCTTCTGGACTCTGATAAAACTACCTCCTTCCTGGATCTTTCTGGTAGGAGTGGTGGCATCTTCCTGCTGACCCTGATCTATGGGCTTGCAAGCCTCTTCAATTGCCAAGTAACCAAGTATGTGCACTAAATTCCCTCTATTTGAATATTCAGAATGACCTATATTATTATGGTTGGATCTTTACTGACACATACAACAATCAATAATGATGAAGAAGGAAGAGGAGGAAATTGGTAGGTTGAATACAGGTATATTTCCATAGTTTATTGGTTAAGGGTATAGAGGTTGGCAAACTTTCTCTGCAAAGAGCAACATAGTAAATATATGTTGATTTTTGTGTTCCATACAGTATTGGTTGTCACTATTCAACTGTGCCATTATAATGTGAAAGAAGCCATAAACATATATGTAAATGGCCATGGCTGTGTTCCAATAAAGTTTATTTACAAAAAGAGGTGAGGGACCAAATTTGGCCAAGGAAATAGATTTTGCCAACCCCTGCTTTAGGTGCTAACAGAATAGATACAATCTGTCTGGCAACATTTTGCAGAAGAACCAAACTTGATTATTAATTTTTGAGTCAATGCCAAATCATACATTTTTAAGAATTGATTTTAGAAGTAATATGATCTAATTTGTACACGCTGCTTAAATGTCCTCTATAATTATCCCCAAAGTGGTCACACAATCTGAATAAGCATCTACAGAAATATCAAGTACTTTTCAGACAGCTACAATTCTTATCAGGTTCTTCCTTACATTCAGCCAAAATCTGTCTTGCTCTTTTCTTCTGGATCCACACTGAGCAAATCTAACCCCTAACTGAAAGGTATCTAGACCTTAATGGATTTCCTAAGGGCACATCATAACTCATCATTAGCCCTCTTAAAACAAGCACCAAGAACTGGCCTTTGTTTTGTTCAGCAAATGTATATAAAATGCTTACTATGTGTCACATATGATCTAGGCTCTGGATATGAGGCAATAAACAAAACAGATTAGGTCCCTGCTTTCATGGAGCTCATTGTAATGGAGTGAGAAAGAAGAAAAACAAAGCAGGTTAAGGAGACTGATAGTGAGGTGGAGGGAAGTTTTAAATAGTATAGTCAGAGAAATTCTCTCGGATAAGGTGGCATTGGAGCAGAGTTAAAAGACACTAAGGGAGTGATTTATGTACACATCTGTGAAAAGAGTGCTCCGGGGAAACAGGAAATGCAAAGGCCCCGAGGCAAGAGTGTGTTTGGGATGTTCATCGAGGAGAATGGAAGATGGAAGGGTCTAGGGCAGCGGTTCTCAACCTGTGGGTCGAGACCGCTTTGGGGGTCGAATGACCCTTTCACAGGGGTCACCTAAGACCATCGGAAAACACATATATAATTACATATTGTTTTGTGATTAATCACTATGCTTTAATTATGTTCAATTTGTAACAATGAAATTGGGGGTCACCACAACATGAGGAACTGTATTAAAGGGTCGAGGCATTAGGAAGGTTGAGAACCACTGGTCTAGGGAACGGTAGTAGACTTGGGGACTTGATCTCATGCTTTCTGGTTCTAGAATATATCCAGCTAGTGTTCTGTTCTCCTGATTTCAATGTTTCCTTCACTGAATGCTCTGAATTTGTGTTGATTAGAAATAAGCTCAGTAGGAATTGTACATGCTGGTTCCAAAGAAAGTGATCAAAGAAGAGTTCATTTCTTAAGAAAAAATTACATAAAATATATTTTTTTAGTTTTTGTTTAAAAAGAATAGAGATTTTAAGGAGTAATGCTTTTTAAATTACTTAGGGATTATAAGTGCTGACACTATGCAGAAATCCTAACAGAGA